AATCATGGAACTCTGCTGGGTTTTGCATTTGTTCCATATTCTAACCGTTTTCTTATGTATCATTCAATGCGTTCAGACAAGTCATTTTCGTGGTGGTATTTTCATGTGGAAACCAACAAATATAGATAATCAGGTAATTTTTATCATCCTTTCTGGGACATTTTAAGATTTGAATTCCTTCTTAAAATGTGCAAAAGATTGGACTTGCAAATAAACAATAAGATGTCTATGCAATACAATAGATGTCATATATCTGCTGTTTTCCACTTGTTTACTCCTTGATATCTTTTAATTCAGAAGTTCATCAATTAGAAACAATTTATACGAAATAATTTTGATGAAAAAGCCCCCTTTTAAAAACTTGATTATAGGAAACGAGAAAATATAAAGCCTTAGAATATGCTTAGTGTATTCAATTTTAATTTAGATTACGTACAAAATAAAATATCTTATCAGAATTAATTATCAACATTATTATTATTATTAGATTTAGGTGTAAAATGCAATCAATAACACTGTTTGTACATATATTAATATGACCTAACAAAAATGTAACAACTAGCTAAAGTAAACATGAAAATTATTTTACTGTAACTATTACAAAATGATATATGGTTACTAATAATTGAAATTTGAACTGAATGCACTAGATTAATAAGGAGATATTTTTTAAATATTTCTATATACTTTAAAATTGTCTGTGGTTTTTATGCTAGAAGGCAAAGTATCTTTCTTTTTTTTAGCACATTATCTTTCAAAATCAAATGTTATGCTATAGGGCCGGTGAGAATGTTTGTCAAATTGTCAATGGAGCGAACATTGAATTTGACTTTTAATTGAATATTTTTCCGAAAAAATAACAAAACATGTTTTTTGGATGATAAAGGCCACAGCTTTAATAATTGTTTCAATGACAAATGTCAGACAAGCATTTAACAATCATTGGGTGCCACACACCTAAATCGGTAACGGGCGTTATGGCACCTCGCCTTCTAGGGTAATCCATAGCAAGGCGTAACAATATGTATAAATCGACTCCTAGGGTACCCCTTAGCGAGTCAGCTGGGATATGTAATTGCCTCCTAGGGGATTCCTTAGCGAGGCACCTGTTATACCGAACAGGTAAGCCCACTATACCGAGTAGGGCAAAAATAACCACCCGTTATACCGAACAGGTAAGCCCACTATACAGAGTAGGGCAAAAATAACCACCGTTATACCGAACGGGGTAAGAGGTTACTGTTATACCAAACAGATCCCTCACACAAGCTTCTAGTGCACTCCATAGCAAGCTTGTATTGGCTCCTAGGGTAGCCTTAGCGAGCCACCACATGCTCTACAAATCACGTAAAATAGATAATCATACATAACAATAATTAATATAATGATGACAAATGTCTCTGCTTGTCTGACATATCCGTAAAGCTGCGACAGCAACATATCGTCAGTCCTCAGTCCCATTGCCTGTAGATCACAATCTTGCGCAGATTAACATGAAACATCCATAGTTAATTGTAACCTGAAAAATACAAATAAACAGCAGAAACAACAGCATCTCAAATTCTTAACATGTTTAAGGTAGCAATCTATCAACAACTAAGATTTAATTTTCTCATTAAGTGGGAGTGGTGGGTGGGAAACAATTATCAAAAGTGCAGAAACGCTGGGAAAGCTATCGAGCGAGAGGAGAAAAACGCCACGTGCGCCCCTCTTTTATACTCGCGGCAATCAGGGAAAGTGTCAAAAGACCTACCCCCTGTGTTTTTCGGAAATCAATTAAATGCGTTTAATTAGCGATTGTTTTAAACGACCTTAATTGAATATTTTTCCGAAAAAATAACAAAACATGTTTTTTGGATGATAAAGGCCACAGCTTTAATAATTGTTTCAATGACAAATGTCAGACAAGCATTTAACAATCATTGGGTGCCACACACCTAAATCGGTAACGGGCGTTATGGCACCTCGCCTTCTAGGGTAATCCATAGCAAGGCGTAACAATATGTATAAATCGACTCCTAGGGTACCCCTTAGCGAGTCAGCTGGGATATGTAATTGCCTCCTAGGGGATTCCTTAGCGAGGCACCTGTTATACCGAACAGGTAAGCCCACTATACCGAGTAGGGCAAAAATAACCACCCGTTATACCGAACAGGTAAGCCCACTATACAGAGTAGGGCAAAAATAACCACCGTTATACCGAACGGGGTAAGAGGTTACTGTTATACCAAACAGATCCCTCACACAAGCTTCTAGTGCACTCCATAGCAAGCTTGTATTGGCTCCTAGGGTAGCCTTAGCGAGCCACCACATGCTCTACAAATCACGTAAAATAGATAATCATACATAACAATAATTAATATAATGATGACAAATGTCTCTGCTTGTCTGACATATCCGTAAAGCTGCGACAGCAACATATCGTCAGTCCTCAGTCCCATTGCCTGTAGATCACAATCTTGCGCAGATTAACATGAAACATCCATAGTTAATTGTAACCTGAAAAATACAAATAAACAGCAGAAACAACAGCATCTCAAATTCTTAACATGTTTAAGGTAGCAATCTATCAACAACTAAGATTTAATTTTCTCATTAAGTGGGTGGTGGGTGGGAAACAATTATCAAAAGTGCAGAAACGCTGGGAAAGCTATCGAGCGAGAGGAGAAAAACGCCACGTGCGCCCCTCTTTTATACTCGCGGCAATCAGGGAAAGTGTCAAAAGACCTACCCCCTGTGTTTTTCGGAAATCAATTAAATGCGTTTAATTAGCGATTGTTTTAAACGACCTTAATTATTTTCATAGATGTTTTAAAGGTTTTTAATTAAATAGATAACTTATTTTCAATCTTAGAGTCCAATCGGATTCTTAATCATATTTTTGACACATTTGTAATGTTGTTTGCAGAAATATTTTTATACTATGATGTATCTCAAATAAAGACAAACATTATATGGTACCAATGTTTCATCGATTAAAAATACGTTCATATACTCATGAGAAAGATTTAATTCTTCTAGCATACATTTTAATAAAAATTGTAGAAGTCTTGGTCGCAAAGGTCGCGGGTGAGGTCAGATTAAGGAATTGAAGTTTTGCATTGAAATATATAGGAAAAGTCTTTTAATGTCTTCTTCTCAAGAAACACAAGGCCAAATCTAAAAAGGATAAACATTATTTGGAAACATCCTGGGAGTAGTGTAGATTCTACAGAGGGGAATCTTGTGAAGAAAAATCCAAAGTAACCCATGTTAGCGTTGTAGCACATGGATCTCTTGTTAAACTCCTGAAATAAAATTATTACAATCAGAGAATGGTAATAAACAATTATCATTACTAAACCAGTAAATATTGCATTTGGTATACGTGTAATTAAAAAAAAACTTAAATGAAAATGTTTGCGGAACATTTAAAGAACAAATCTTCAGTAGAAGACCTTAAATGTAGTACAATGTACAACTTTTTTGTTAATATTTATAAAAAGAGAAAGTTTACATTTCCTTATGATTTTTGTTTTAGCTCTACTAGTAAGAGACGAGAAAAGCTTATGCGATAGTAAGATGACCGAACTCCGTCTTTGTAGATGTCTGTCTATCTGCCCGTCTGCCTGTTTGCAAACAATTTTCAAAACGCTCCTCTTCCTACACATTTGGTATGATTTCAATATAATTATGCTCACAAATAGAATATACCAAGAAACATAACTCTATCATATACATGTTTTTACTGAATTTACTTGCAACCCTGATTGAAACACAGAGAGGCGTGTTGTATTACATATGTATTACCCTATATTAGTACACATTATTTCACCCCATATCACACACTTATTACAGCTTTCCAAAGCATCTCTATATTCCTCATTCAGAGTATCCCAAATCTTTTTCTATATTTTATGATTTCACCGTTATTTCCCGATCATGACAATAAGCACACGGCGGATGCGACCTGTCGACAGGGGATGCTCACTCCTCCATGGTACATGTACCTGATCCAAACTTCGATGTTTTGGAGGTCTGTGTTTGCTCTGCTCCTATTTTGTACTGTTTTATGTTCATCTGATCTTGAATATTGTTCGTTATCTCCATTTGTTTCATGATTTTTCTTCACTGTATTCAAACAATACCATTTGTTTTATTTGTTATATTAATAATTATTTCATCTTTTTATCTGTGTATGCGTTGCCCTTTGGAAAATTAATAAGAAATAGTTATCTTACAGAAAAACAGAAAACATACAGTTATTCAAAATAAGCGATAGTTAGGACTCAGTCGTCCGTCTGTCTGTCAACACTTTTTTATCAAAATGCTACCCTCTTAAAGTTATGGTCTGATTTCAATAAAAGCAAATAAAGATCAGTTATTATACTTTACTGTTGTAAATTTCTAGAGAGAATGATAATTTTCTCTTCCATTGTTCTTATTCAAACCAGTATAGCTTCAGTCTCGAAAGAGACACCTGGTTTAAGGTGCAAATCAAATTCACTTTGCTATAAATAAGTCGGTCACATTTCTGAAACCAGACGGGAAATTCAAACCATTATATTACAAAAAAGTGTCGATTAAACAAAAATATTTATAACTAGTTCCTGATAAAACTTTATAGATATGTATCACATATTAATCAGGAAAGTAAGTCTTTCATTGTGCAATTTCCGTTCCAGGACAATGAAATTCAACTATTATTTCTGTACTGTTAATTATTTTTAAAAATTACCAAATGAGAAGGATGAACATTTTAGTGATCCTACTGACGACTGTCTTATGCTTTGGTAAAGGATAAAATTATAGGGAAAAATTCTTTAATCTCCATTGTTTTTTGTCATATTATATTTTTGCATATTTTTCAGATTATGAAATGGCATCAAATATTCACTTGGAATACATTAACACAAACAAGGACCAGTTTACCTCACCTGGATACCCCGGCAACTACCCAGACAATACAAACTACACTTGGGTAATAATAAGGACTGGGCACACCGCAGCTAACGTAACATTTAGAGTTCATGACATGGATATTAAATACACACATCCTTGTGACGACTATGTCGAGGTAAAATTCTTCTTTTACTAATTTTTAAGCGCTAAGCGCAGCGCAAAGCGCTTTCTGTCAGCGTAAATCTACTTCCGTTCGCGATCCAGCGCCACTGTAAGCAAGTAAGATACCTCTTCTTGTTATTCTAAAAATGTGCAACTGGAAATCCCTGACTCTCTTCTTGCTATTTTAGTGTACTGCTGCGTTAGGTGCATTTCTTATAATAGGAAGCAATTAGTGAGGTAGAGAAATATTCCACAATTAGTAGTTAAAAGCAGTTCTTATGATACTCTTCTCTATACATTGTAGTTCATTTAAATCTTGTAGGCACACATTACTTTTGTTACATGTAACTAGTAATTGCTGCATCTCTTGCACAAATACTGAATAAAAAGCAGTATATTATTTATCGTTTACATGTAATATAGTGATTGAATAAAAAATACATAATTTAAAAATCAAATGGGATTTTAATAATTTAGTTTTATAAATCTCAAACTGGAAGTGAGTTACAAGTATTCAGTATTAAAAAAAATAAAATTGATTAACAATGCACTACTTACGTAATATGGTGTGTTCTTTATAACTTATATCATATAAACTATTATTTTTTTCTTCTAGACCCCTAATTCAGGCAATGTAACTAAAAGAAGCCTTTTCCTTTTTAACACCTTGCACCATGCTGAGAGCTATCAGTGAAGTTGATTTTCGCATCTAAGTATCAATTAGTAGCAGACTGCAATGCATTCATGGACTTTTTAATGTCTTTACTTGTGTTATTGTACTGTATAATTGTGTCATATGGGTAAAACATTATGTAAATAATTCGAAAGGAAAGGCAGTTTCTGTGGCTGTACAGGCATGAAGGGCATGTAGTGGTTGTGTTTTCAACGAATCCATTCAAATAGTATAACTTATTTCTCGGAATAGTGTGCTTTAAATTTGTGTGTAGTGTGCAGGGTATGGCGAAAAATGCTAAAATCTGAATTAACGTTCTTAAGCAATGGACAGGAATAGGGCTAATGTAATGTTAAGCAAACAGTTTGATACACGAAGTAGGAAACTATAAGGAAGAAATAGTTTATGTAAAAATGTGCCTCAGCCGTGTTGCCGATTCTTAATGAAAACTAAATAAAAACGGAATAAAACAATGTTGTATATCTTCATGAAAATTTATTAATACTTGAGATTAATACTTGCATATATTTTCTTTCTTGGTCTCTTGAATTCGTTATCAATGAAATAGCAGAAAAATTATGAAGAATTATTTTCAGTATTCCTTTTCAACTAGCACAGAAATGCAGTAAATATTTGTCTCCTCTCAGCATGTTTTGCATGATAGTGAAGATCCTACATATGGTATAAAGCATCAAGCGTCCGTAAAAATACTGAAGCATTTTAAATTATTTTAACAATAGTCAAAAAATGCTTTTGGGGGTTAAATGAAATTTTTCATTTGAGAGAAGAAAAGTGTAAAAAAAAATATATATATATATATATATATTGTAAAAAAGTAATATTCACAAATGAGTAAAACATATCGTGATATCGACACAAAGGTTACTGCAAATATGCCATAAATCATGTATTTGAAAATCAGAGATTAAAGGATAGAATGGAAAGATAAATATAATATTTTTATACTCAAATGTTTATTTACGTATTAAATGTATTTGACAAAAAGGGCGTTAATTCTGCGGATGTTCATTTCATCTACATGGAGTTTTGTCACATGACGATGTTACAAACATGATGCCAATCTTCAATTTGAAACACTGGTAAACGCGTAATGAATTTGTTATTAAAAATGATTACAAGAAGATTTTAGAAGGCATCGTTGCACACAAATGATAGAAATTTTAGCGACATTTTCAAGTCTTCAAATTTATTTCAAAATATACATTTTCCAGAAATGCTACATTTAAACTCTAAGTTTCATCGGAAAACTCGATTATCATCTCCCTTCCAATAAATAACGATTTATACGCAAATATTACCTCTAATAGATTCCTACAGGGCGATGGGTAAAGAAAATATTTTTACACGGAGAAATATTTTCTTCCAACTTCATGTATGGGATATTGATTGATTTTTTGACAGAGAAAGAAAATGTAAAGTACTTAATTAAAAAGGCATTAGACAATGTTGAATTTCATAATCAAACGGGAAGTTTTCAGACCTAACATACTAGTATTTGATTATGTACCAAACAACTGTACTCACCCTAGCGCTGTCGCACTGTCAAACTATTGCTTAAAACCAATACAACAGGAAATTTAAATTCAAAATAGTTCTGATGAATTTCAAATCAATATGCTTAGCGCTTCCCAGTACTTTCAGTACTTTGATTTATCTTAAATTAATTACACAGAATTTGGCGAAATAAGAAAGATAAAAAGCTGGAACAATTACGATTAACTCTCTCTCTCTCTCTTTTCTCTGCAATCTTTATATGTTCTTTATAAAAATCCCATACCCAGTATTTTTCCTTTGCAGATTAGTGAGGTTGAGCCATGCTGCTTTACTGTATTTAAAAGATGTGGCAAATTAAAGGACAGGGTCTTTTACGCAAAAGGGAATCAGATAAGAGTATCGTTTTTATCTGACAGAATTCTGAATGCAAAAGGATTTAATCTTTCTTGGACAGGTATAAGTCTTTAGATACCATGTGTGTATATGTAGAATGTCATTATTGTCACACACTCATTTTTCATTAATTTTAGTTGCTTTGCCACCAACAACACCACGGCTAAAAGTTA